TATCGCTTTCATGCATTTGTGTATAAACGGGATTCTTGTTCTTGAGGCATCTGCATACGTGCGCCATATAGGGGACGTCGGGGCCAGTTTTCACAAGGGCGACATTTTAGTAAGGTTTCGAGTCAGATGTCCAATTACACAAATGTGTTTTTACTAGCAGTGGTTTTGTATGTGGGTTTCAAACATCAAGTTCAAAATGGTCCTAAAATTAGAATAATTTATTGCGAATTCTAAAATAAAATGTTACATTATTAAGCTGTTCAATATGTTTTAAATGTTCTTAATTTATACAGTGTATTAATTAAAACATTACTTGGCTATTAAAAAATGTTGACTAAATAGCAATTTCATTATTAAATGCATTTTTTTCTTTTACATTTTGCTGTTTTTTAATGTTACTTGCTGTTACATTTAGCTGTTTGTTAATGTTTAAGTACTGTTTAAATGTAGCTTATTACTATTATTAACGGTATTTTTTTCTGGACAATTAACCGCGGGAATGTTTAATAGCTTTTTCTACCAAAAACATTCTTAAAGTGGTAAAAATGTGACAACTAGCCCCTCTCTCTTCTACCTGAGCTCTTTCTGTTTTGGATTTGTTGTTGTTACCACTGCCGACGTATTACACAAACCTGTCGTAAATGTTGCCTTGCGTGCCTCAGCTCGATGTCATGCGTAGATGGTTCCTACCATTAACCACACATTTCACTAGAACATACATGGTCAAACTTCTAACCTCATTTGTACTGCTGTTTCCAGAGATGTGAATACTTGGAAGATTACAGTATTAACTTTAAAATAGACTATCATGATGGTCAGCATGAACCGGATTGGGTTTGTCCGTATCTAAAAATGCCTTTCGAAGTGTTTGGATGTAGTCGGATGTAAATCCTCGATCCTGGTAGGTCAGTTTTGCTGGGCTTTCCCAGTTAACATTCATCATGGGTGAGGATTATCACGTTTGAACCTGACTAACAGAGTGGGCTGATTGAGTATCTGATGACTGTGAACCACTTCAACCACAACATGTATACAAATCTAGTGCAAAAATACTCAAAGAAAAGCAGAATAATGTATTAAAACAAGTTTTGCATGTCTTCCTGTTTGCAGCTTTTCATTTAAGAGGGTTAAACCAAAAGCATCGCACGCGTCCGGTTCTTAGTATCGTAGTATTTCTTAAGCAGGCTTCTCAGAATTTGAGGCAGTTAATGCTACGATTGTATCACGTTTGTTTCCTCCTCTGTTGCGTCAATATTGATATGGGTGGTGAACCAAATATGGCACAATTGGATGCCAATGTCATCCCCATGGTACCTCCAGATGCACTGCATTCGTGAATAAGCAGTTAGGTGTCCTCACCTGGCCCCTGCCTGTGGCTGTGTGTCAAACTGGTGATTATAACCGACTGGCATCAAATAAGCAAGGATGTATTGAGAGCTTTCTCATCTGTTGGGAAAAGCGATTTGGTGGTACGCTAGTTTGATTATGTAAGAATTACCGTTCATTGATACCAGGTGTCTGTCAGAGCCAAATGACCATCTGGTGGCCGAGCACTTTGTGTAACCGTAGAGTCGACAGTGCGTCTGTGGGAATTAGATTTGAACGTCAACAAAAAAGTATTTTCTGTGCTTTATAATAAAAAAAAATAGAGAAACGTTACACAGGAAATGGTTTAGAAACAACAAGATTGCCAGCGTGGTTCCTGTTTATGACATTTTACTCTATCATGTCATCATTAAAACGGTCAGACTTTTTAATAGGATTGTGTTACACAATCTCGTCTTATTATTATTATGATTATCAAGAAACAATTAAAGAAACCAGATTGGTGAACTCTTTAAATATGTTATAAATAAGCAAGTAATCATGCTCAAGTGATTGGAAAAAGAATGTGTCATTTTATGGAATACTTGATTCTGATTGGCCGTTGTGTTGTCAGATAGTTCTGTATATTGTCGCTAACTGTATATTTGACTGTTGTCTACATAGATCTCTTTCTTCTCACATAAGTAATTTTAAACTCAAATTAGTACTTAATGTTGATTTATTTGTTTAATAAGTAGCCCTCATTATTGGAAAATAAACCTCTATTTATAAATCATTAGACTCACTATCCTTTGCATATAATATATGAAAGAACTTTCTGATACAATTTAAACCATTATATTAGTATTTTTTTAAATAATAATGAATAATATTAAATGTAATATTTTAATACAGTTAATAATATAATATTTTAAATTATTTGTTTTAAATTAATTCTTTTAATCTCTGTAATGACACAGTTTTGACAGAAGCTATGGATATCCTCATGAGATTCCTTTAAAACCCTTTTATGCTTTTCCTGGTGACACGTCACTATGAGAATATGAACAGAATGGAGGGTTAGACCGTCTTTCTTCGATTAGTCTTCTGCCCACAGGCACCTAAAATCATGGGATCAACTCGAGAGATGGAAAGGAGCTTGTCAGCCAATTGTATTTGTAATGACGCCCGCCTGGGTTTTACTGGGATTCAAACTCAGACTGGAATGCAGATTGTTAAACCACAGCACCACAACTACAGTTTTTAATGTTCAGTACTAAGGCTATAACAGTACATGTATTCGTACTGAAAATGTTCACATATCACTGTATAAACGCCTCAGTTCAAACAGCAGCGCGGAGCGCGAGTAAGCGTAATCATCCCTTCCTCTTTACTACTAGTTATAACATGAAATAAGTCTAGAGAAGAGCTTTTCAAAAATTATTAGACTATATACACATTATTTTTTACTTTACCTGTTAGTGATGTTTTAATTATTTAATGTATGTTTAAATAAATCTGTTATGAAACAAGTTATGACAGCCACTGCTTATATTTCAACAACAAATAGACATTTTATAATTTAGAAGTTAATTTAAAGACTGCATTTGCATTGTATTATGTGCAATTTACATGTTTGCATACAATTTTTTAAAAGTTGATTTTTGATTATTATATTTAAAAATAAATATTAATTAAATTTAAGTTTGGTTCTTTGTTAATTGCAACCTTATAGTAATGTAAAAGGGCTCCCTATAGCTTAGAGCTTAAGCAGATTTTTATCCCTAAGAAAATGTTAATTGTATTTGAATTTATTTAAAGAAAGAGCAATTTGTTCAGTAAACCACTGTTTAATAAAAAAAGCAATTTGATGTTTAGTTTTTTCTCCCTACATACCAAAACCATACCAAACGGTGATGTCAAAACCGAGATTATGTTTGTGTACTGTTACGCCCCTATTCAGTTCTGATCAATAACTAATACTGTGTAGGAATAGCATCTGCTATTATTATTATTATTATTATAAGATATTTTTAAACCGCTAATAAGGAAGAAATGTTTTGTAAATATATGCGAAATATTCTCAGATGATGATGATTATTAGTATATCACATATCTTCAATTATCATAATAGCCCCATTTTTAAATAGAAAAAATAATGATTACATATTTTGTCAATATATGTCAAATAATCTCAAATTATAAAATTTAAATACTACTGCTACTAATTAGGGCTGTCAAAAAAATGAATATTCGTCGAATTTAAAATAAAAATCCACATTCGAATGCAAAAACGTTGCATTCAAATTTTAGGTGTGCGTTAAGGAGGCAGCCTTACCAGTTGAGCACGAGATGCGATGATGATGTAAGTGTCATTGCATTATAATGTTTTTGTTAGCCTATCCAGTTGAAGCCTATCCAGTTGAAGCATTGGTCGATGCGCCCTCTTGTGACCTCAGGAGAGAAGCCAAAAGCTTTTCTTCACCCTAAATGAAATTATGCATTTTAAATTCGAATATAATTCGAATTTTGATCATATTTAAGTACAAAATTCGAATTTAGTTTTTCAGCCATTTTGATAGCCCTACTACTAATAATATATTAATTATTATTCATTTATTTTATGTAAAATTATCAATAGTCTAATTTTATCGCTAGCATTTAATTTTTTAGCATTTTACCTTTTTATTTTACTCATAAAATAAACTATTAAAAGGATAGTTCAGCCAAAAATTTAAATTCTGTCATGAATTACTCACCCTCATGTCGTTCCAAACCAGTAAGACCTTAGTTCACCTTCGGAACACAAATGAAGATATTTTTGATGAAATGAGAGAGCTCTCAGACCCTCTATAGACCGCAACGCAACTGTAATGTTCCCAGGTCCAGAAACGTAGTAAGGTCATCGGTAAAACAGTCCATGCGACATCAGTGGCTCAACTTCAGTTTTGCGAAGCTACGAGAATACTTCTTGAGCTTAAAGAAAACAAAAATAACATAATTTATTCAACAATTCTTCTCCCCCAAGTTACGTCTTCTGCCATTTTAGAGTATCACATATGCACGCTTTCAGGTTTGAAATGACATGAGTGTGATAAGGTTAAACCACGTTGATTACGCTGATTACGCTGATTACGCAGATTACGATCATGTGCGTGCTTTCTCCTCCGAACGTAAACAACGCTGATTACGTCGATTACGCTCTTGGGTACTCTCCAAAATGGTGGAAGACGTAACTCGGGGGAGCAGAATTGTTAAATAAATTATGTTATTTTTGTTTTCTTTAAGCTCAAAAAGTATTCTCGTAGCTTCGCAAAATTGAAGTTGAGCCACTGATGTCACATGGACTGTTTTACCGATGTCCTTACTACGTTTCTGGACCTGGGAACATTACAGTTGCGTTGCTGTCTATGCAGGGTCTGAGAGCTCTCACATTTCATCAAAAATATCTTCATTTGTGTTCTGAAGATGAACTTGAAATGAAGGTCTTACTGGTTTGGAACGACATGAGGGTGAGTAATTAATGACATAATTTTCTTTTTTGGGTGTACTAACCCTTTAGGTATGTCAATAAACTATTAAACTAATAATTGTTCTCTTGCTTAATTTAACAAAATTACAAAAATGGAAGTTTGGAAATTATGAAAATGTTCTTTCCACAAGTGATATTTACCCTTATTTTGTTTTAATTACACATCACGTCTTATGTATTTCAAGTGTGGTCTTCACAAACACTGCATAAAATTTGTTTGTATTTTTGCATGACATCACAATGATTAAGTCAAGAGATCACTGTGATTAAGGAAAAGTTATGAAATTACAAGTTCGACGAAGCTGTGAATCCTTTTTAATGATTTGGAAACTCGTGATTGCGCTAATTCCGTCATGACGTGAACGCAGAATTATTGTACCATCTCAATATGTTTTGTCCTTGATCCAAATAGGAAGCGGCTGTATAGTCTGATCCCTGATTGTTTTTGGACACAGATCAATCCTTGCTTTCATTTGTCCATGGTTCAAGTGCTCAGCTAACTATAGTTAACTTGTGCGAAACATGACGCTTAAGCTCCCGGATGGCCATGTCATACATTTCCCAGTGATTACTCTCAATCCTGGAAGACCACCTTGTATCTGTCTGCTCTCGGTTTGCCGCAGCTTTAATCAGGTATCTGAGCGCCTAGCAGCCTGAAAACAATCTGGGCCGACCTGAAGGGTCTTGTTTAGCAGTTTGCCAGGTTTATCCTGGTGGAACGCCTGGATCAGTTGTGGATTAGAAAAGGAAGAAGGTTTTCCTCTTCCAATCTTCAGCCAGGTTTAAACGAGATTGGGCTCAAAACATTTCACACATGCTCGCGTTTTTACCTTAAAAAGTAATAACTAAAGTAGAGAAAATTGCGGGAAAGCTCTTGAAATCTTTCTCGCCTGTTGAAGAGCATGCACAGATGTCTCTGTTAACTAAACTCTTTAGTTTTTTTTCCCTTTCCTAATCTTGACATTTATGAGGCTTTGATTTTAGCCAAGAGATGAAGGAGGGAATTTCGGCCTGGGTGGTGGGTGGTCCTGATGTGACAGTTGCCCCGTTACTTATGTATCCATTGCATTCAGAAAGGCCGGACACTGGCCTTCAGAGACCCTCCTGCTTCTCCATCAACCTTCGACTCAGATTTTATGGCCATCTGCTGGTTAGCTGCACTGATCGCATGGGTTGCTTTCCAATGGTGGGCCACAACATTTGACCTGTGCTTTCCAGGTCGTGACCTTCACCTCATTTCCTTACACGCACCCATTCCGACAGCAGGGTTGAGTTTATCTGATATCTCCCCTTAGTGCTGCTGCAAAGTGCCAAGTTTCGGAAGCAGAGCACTTAGCTTTGATACTTCAGTTTCTGTTTTGACCCTGCTCTGTTCTCGCCAAGCCTGGGTCCATCTGGACAGGTCTGCCCTGGCCTCCCTTCCCGCCACCTAGAGAGGGAATACCAGATTTCCCATACAGGGAATCACAGTTGCCACTTTTTACCATTCCCCTACTTAAATGCACTGGGAAACTTGGAGCTATGAGGGAAATAGCAAAGAATAAATTGCGAATCTGTTTTGTTTTAGTGTGTTTCATGTTGGTTTTGAGTGCTAGGTTGCGGAAAATGCAGCAGTCATGTGGTGTGACCAATATTCAGGAAAAAAAAATTCCCCTTAGTGCTGGTGCAAAGTGCCAAGTTTCGGAAGCAGAGCACTTAGCTTTGATACTTCAGTTTCTGTTTTGACCCTGCTCTGTTCTCGCCAAGCCTGGGTCCATCTGGACAGGTCTGCCCTGGCCTCCCTTCCCGCCACCTAGAGAGGGAATACCAGATTTCCCATACAGGGAATCACAGTTGCCACTTTTTACCATTCCCCTACTTAAATGCACTGGGAAACTTGGAGCTATGAGGGAAATAGCAAAGAATAAATTGCGAATCTGTTTTGTTTTAGTGTGTTTCATGTTGGTTTTGAGTGCTAGGTTGCGGAAAATGCAGCAGTCATGTGGTGTGACCAATATTCAGGAAAAAAAAATTAAAACAGGAGAGGATATCACAGAGCGAGCCCTGCAGACCTCCATGACTGTGTCAAGGTCATTAAGTTTTAAAATATCAGATAATTTGACCTTTAAAATGTCATGTGGTGCATTCATTTAATAACGGATGATATTTACTGTATGAATTAATAATTCATGATCTTAAAAAATGTGACTTTTTTATTACAAGTTTACTACAGGTTCTGAAATGTCATGTGGTGTGACCACAAAAATTATATTACTAATTATTTTTGTATTTATGAATTATTAATGAATTATATTTGAGAAGTATCTTGTTTAATTATTTAAATATCAAAAATGTTTTCCTTTTTGTGACAAGGCAAGGTGGTTTAGGTTGTCAAATGTCATATGGTTGTGACTCCTCCGAAATTCTATTAAATATGATTTTTATATTTGATTAATAATTCATAATATTTGAGAAGTCTCTTAAAATAGCAGATTATATGACCTTTTTATGAAAAGGCAAGGTTAGTTTAGGTTCATGTCATGTGGTGCGACTCCCTAAAAGCTTGTTTTACTAATTAATTCATGATATTTGTGGGAAAAAACTTGATAATTCTAAACTTTTTTGAAAAAGGTGTAAGAAAAATACATTATAAATTTTTATTGTATAACTTTTTTCAAAACCATATGAGGCCACCATGACAAAAAAACTGGGCAGACCTTAAGGAAAAAAATAGACTAGATTATTAATTTTTAATCGATGGTTCCAACACATTACATTTTTATTCATTCAATTTAAAATTTTCCTGAAAATTATATAAAAGCTTTTCAAAACCATATGAAAGCAACATAAAACAAAAAGTACTGTACATTTCTAAGAACCAAAACATGTTTTAAACTGGATTTTTACAAATATTTTCTTTATCATGGACACTCTTATACATCACTGACCCAAATGTTTGAGTACCTTTTTTTTTTTAGAAACCCTGTCCTCTGCTCTTTCCAATAGCTATAATGCATGATAAACAATTTGCTATGTAATACTGGAGGTCTTGTTGGTAGGGGTCGACCGATATGTGTTTTTCAAGGCCGATGCCGATACCGATTATTACAGATCAAGTAGACCGATAACCGATATTTTGAACCGATATATATGTCTGGTGCAAAAATGAAAATTAATGTCAAAATTAAGAATAACAAGGGCTCTGACAAAAACTGCCTTCCCTGGTGTTGGTTGAGTGTAGTACTCCCACAGTAAACTCTTTATTTTAAAGGGTTAAACTCTTTATTTTTTGGCAAACAAAGGGTCTACCATTAAAATTAAAACATGGAAGAAATAGCGTATTGTGTGATTATTCTTTTAAACAAAAGTTGTAATAATTGTTGTAGTAGTCAGGGGTTAAAGCAAAAAAAAAATCTTTTGACTGAAAATTTTTCCTCGGCCAAACCCCATTCCACAGCTTCTTGTATTCAGGAGCGCTTGTCCTCCTAATTAAAAAAAATTAAGGAGCACCTTCTGATCAATAATCAAAAATTCTGATCAAAAATTAGCCTTCCTATGAGGTGAAGTGATTTACAGGGGCATTTTCTTTTTACCTTTGAAATGGCATAATTTTCATCTGTCAAATTCAAAAATTTATGTTTATAAGCTTTTTAGAATTTCTATTTAAAACAATATAATAAGAAGTAGAATAAGACAAATAAGTTACCAATGATGAAATTAGTATTAATTATTGGTAACTACAGAGGTGGCACAGAAGAACACACAAGTGGCTTGTAGGTAAATTTTCAGACATTCAATGAGGCTCAGAGGTGGCATGAGTGCAATTATATTCATAAATTCATGTGGAGATTAATGTTTTAAATATAACATTTTGATATATTAAATTATTTAAATAACTGCAATTATACCTAAAAAATTTAACTGAAACCGCCAGCAGGTGGCGGCAAATCCCTGATTATATCACTGAATCATTCATTCAATTGATTCGTTTGAATGGCTGATTCATTCAGGAGTGAAGCAATTGACTGTCTTTATGAATGGGTAATCATGAATCACTGACTCACTAGATTCGTTCAAAAACGCACTTTCATTCATGAATGAAACACTGTGTTTGCTTTTAGAGATGCGCAGCGGCTGAGCTGTTACTTTATTTGGAACTATTTTCGTTGATGAAATAGAGCAAAATCAGGCAGTACATGTTTATTGAACTGTTTTATTAAATCAATATCACATTTGCAAACTCCTTTAAGAATTATTAAAATCTGTCACTCATCGCGATCTGTGGGCGCACAGAAAATGAGAGTTCTCAAGACTCAAAAGCGCGTGCAAATGATACGTTCCGTCATCTGTCATCGCGTTATAAGAGCGGAACCTGCGGGAATGAGTAGAATTATTATTAATAGCCGCAATCCCGCGCCTGAAATTCAAGACCTGCTCTGTGTTCTCTGTTAATAACCCGACTGTGAATGATGCGAGCGGCGTTATGTTGTCAGTGAGAAGCTGCAGCCGTGGCGGGGAGGATTTTTGGTGTGCCGGCAGAACAACAAATGTGCTACATGTTTCTTTTCTCCTCATTTTTTCCAATTGACGGAAATCCGTCGTAGCGACGGAAAACTTTCATCCCTGAGTAGTATTATGTACATCATACTGCACCACTGTCGGAGGTTCTCTCAGCCAGAAGTTTTTGCATTCTGGAGCTAGCGTAGCATATCTTCCGGCCCACATTCAGGGTTTTTAGGAACAGCCGAAGCTGGGAGCAAAGACTGCCTAGTGTAGATCAGAAAGAGAAGGGACAGAGAGAGCTGAGGGGCGGCGCAGATAATCGAGGCTGTACATCAGCCGAGCACAATGCTGTCAGCCGAGGGAACATCTGGGTTTTTCCCTCCAGACAATACCGACATGGATATGCACAAACATGGCCAGAGGGACATGCATGGAGAGGAGGCAGAATGGAAGAATAGTTTATGTACTGTAAGAGGAGAGAAATTTACAACATTTTGATTTTGGAGGCAGATCAGTATAAGGTTTTTAAAAAACAGACTTAAAGGGACAGTTCACCTCAAATTTTTAATTCTGTCATTATCACACTCAGGTCATTTCAAACCTGTATGAATTTCTCTCTTCTGCAGAACATGAAAGGAAAGATTTTGAACAACACGTTAGTTGCTGTTCTCTATGCAAATACATTGCT